AATTGATTGTTTGATAATTAGAGGGTTTGGGATTGTTAAGGTTGCCCAAAAACACTGATTTGTGAAGAAAATCGCAAAAATTAATCTCCAATCTGCAATAATTTGGTGTACAAATGAAGAACTAGGTTTAAATAAAAGGGAAATCGAGAGAAATTTGGGAAAAAAATAAAAAACTAGCCGTTATGCTGGGCCCCACAAGCGTTTTCCGTCACCTGAGCTCAGATGAGGTGGTAAAACTGATGTTTAATTTTTTTATGAGGTGGTAAAGTAAATGTTTTTTTTTGGAGGTGGTAAATTCGACAAAGTCATTATTTGAAGGTGGTAAATAATGAAAATTTCCTTATTAAAATATAATGAACATGTACCTAAAGTGAAAAGAACATATTTACACCAAAAAAAGAGTAAAAAGAACATATGTTCATGTTCTTTGACTGTCAATATAATATACTTTTATTATAATATTATGTTCATTGCTTATTGTGTATTATTCTTTGAATTTTGTTTTAAAATTATGATGGGTATATATAAATAATGTTCATTACATAATATTTTCATGTTCCTTATTAATATTACAGATGCTCTTTAGATATATACGAAGTATAAAAAAACATAAAATTGGATGTTCTTTATAAAATAATTATATGTTCTTTATAAAACAATTATATGTTCTTTATAAAATAATTATATGTTCTTTATAAAGTAGCTACATGTTCTTTCTACTTTTCTTGTCTGTACCAAGCAAAGTAAAGGTTGTTGTACTTAAAATTTTCACTAAATGCCGAAGAATAAAATACTCCGGATTTAATTAACAAATGAGTATAAATTTCAGAGTAAGTTAAACATGCTCGCCAACTAAAAAGCTAAGCTGCATGCACTGTAAAGCGTTAAGCATTTTGGAGAACAAAAAAATATTAGTACGAGTATTATTAATAGAAATGGACCAAATTAATAGTTGATGCCTTTTCTCCCAAGTAATTGACGACCAAATTAAGTATGCAAATTCCAAAATAACTTTGGCAACGAGTACTTTCATCATGATCTCTTGCCTTTTGATTAATATTATTACCATTTACTAAAAGTGTTGACTAGGTTTAATATTATATGTCAAGGATTTTGACTCCCTAATAAATTGGTAAAATGATGCCTCCAATCTAACGTATTGTCCAAGCAAGTCTAATATTAAATAATAATTAATAAAGCTTAGCCTAATCTTTATTTATCTACTGCAAGTACTCATGAAAGCATAACGTGTCGTGTGCACATTGTGTATTTGTGTGTTAACTAATATCCAATAGACATTAGTGATTAGATATAATTTTTGCAGGCTGAGAGAATTCTAGATGATTGATCAGTCTGTGATGAATGTATAATACCACTATATATTAGGGTTAATCTCACCTTGAGTGGGGTTTAATATGATCGAGTTACGTTCATCATTATTTTACTCACGTATATATCTTCATCAAATTAAGATTTACTATAATTGTTATCAACTTTATTAGGAATTTTATAACTATACTTGAAGAAGATTATTTGATATACTCATAATATTATTCTCCTTTAAAACATATAGAATCAGATTAAGGTAGGCCATAATTTGTGGGTCTGGTTTTTTATATTTACAATTATAGCCGGATCATAACCGTATTTTTGACTTAATATTACTTGACATCGTCTCCTTTTAATTTGTGATCTTTACTATGTATTTTCCAAAAAAATAAATAAATTATAATTAGTACTTGTAATGTAATTGGAACTAATAAGTTAATTAATTTTGTTATAGAAATAAAAATTGAAATATTCCTCCAAGAAAAATACAAATTGAAATAATAAAGAATTACAACTCAATCTCATGCAATAAGTATTGAGTAGTTGGAGATTGGACTTTCAATTGAATTTAGATTTAATCAGGTCAAAGAAACAAGTGAACAACTAACTCTGTATTTACTCATTCATTTTTCTACAGAGAGGGTAGCATAGTGCCATAGGCATAGCAACGTAGGTTGCATGTGCCCTAAATTAAAACGTGTTTTCACTTGAGACTTGAGACATAAGCCTTGTGTTGAAACTACAAACTTTTGATGCATCATTAATAATTTAATATGATTGGGTTTTAACGCTCGACTGGAAAATAATACGGTAAGTAGTTATATTTTAAAATGACCGCTGTATTGGGGATCGGTGTTGCCTTATTTGTTTTTTAATACCGTAAAATTTCACAAAATAATTTATTTTCTTAAAAATTATGAAATTATATGATTATTTAAAACATTTGTAAATGCAAGATAATAACGAATTCAACTTGTGACTTTGATCGAGTTATTATATATTCGAGCCCACCCAACTACATTATTTACTCTCTTATCTAACCTTTTGCTCTCAAACGTTGACTTGGTTCAGTAACATTATCAATGTGTCCATTTGGGGACATCGATCCCCTTACTTCACCTTTTCCTCTCCACGATCACACATTTGAATCGACACTTGGTGGCCCGGGCCATTTAAAAGTAAGGGAGGCAATCTAGCTAGTTACAACTTCTTAATGCGAATGCTACTTGTCAATTAGACAATTAGTTGTATAGAGCCGTATCCTTTATGTGGGTCCTTCGAATTCCATTAATGAATTTGACTAGAAAGTGATGAATTTATATGTGAACAAACAAAAAAAAAATCTCAAAGTACAAAATCAAAGTACAACAATGATGTCATTAATTAGTGTGTATAATTAGGGAGATAAATTAGTGTGCGTGCAAACAATGGTAATTGCATAACACAAATAGAATGAAAGGAGTTTGTTTTGGTACTCTATCTACATTAATTTTGGACGTGTGGCTAACCAAGTAGGTAGGATTGGCAATGAGTCAATTAGTTGTAGGCAAAGTCCATTTACTTTTAGCTTCAAAAGTCATTACGGCAAATAAGCATGTTTTGTTGACTTTTGCTTTAAAGTCACACTTGATTATTATTATCATGGTTGGAATTTTGAAGATAAGTCACTGACGAGGTTCCATTTCACATACTAGCTAAACATTAGTCGGTAAACCCTTGATATATTATTAATTCGTTAATATTTGATGATATCCTAATTTTACAATTTTTCGTAACTTAATGCATAATTTAAAGCATTTTTTTTAATGTAATGCAAGTACACAACGCAATATTAGTTGATGTCGTTAGTTTGTAATCTATTCAACTAATAATTAGGTGCATATATAATAATTAATATGTAATATGTTTGTCAATTAAAAAAAAAAAATTGTTAGTGTGACTGTGTGACTAATGAATCATGCATATATATTATAGAAAAGGTATTATCAATCATCCTCTTTCTTATATGGTAGTATGCCCTTGAAAACCCTAGCTAGTTTCCATAATTTCTATCACTCTAGGGGCTATTAAACCCCCTCTACTCTATATGAATATTATTCTATTGTTTAAAATTTTTATCCAATTAATTGTCAATATTTGGGTTAAATTTTAAAAACTGCAATTGGACAATTAATTGTCATTGATCTATAAGAGTTAGTATAATCACGTGGAATCTTGTTGAGTTTGTCTTATTATATACTCACGTATTTTCCTAATATCAAGTTCTTATAATTTACGCGAATGAAAATAGAGATATGCGTCTTGAATAACATGAGATATTTATGAATCAAACTTTTTAATTTACTATACTACTCGTAGGAACTAAGGAAGTTGTACTAAGCTACTCGTATATTATGAAGGAAAAAAGGGGAGTGTTATTTACTTACCGAAAGTGGAACAAATACTGGTTATGGTCCACAAGCGTGTGCTTGCTTTTCCGCGGTTTACACTTTTTAGTAGTTACTTCTATTCGTCTTCTATTATTGTTATGTTTCACATGATACTTGAGTTTTTCATCTTCTCTACTATACCGTGTTTTATGGAGTACTTCCTATTTTTTGATAATAATGTTTGTTTCATAGATTTGGTTAGATACAAATCTAACAATTAGAATTAATTTGGTTAGACATGAAATCTTACTATGAGATTTGTGGTACTATAGTAGTATAGCTATATATTTCCTATTGTTTTTGTGACATTAATAAACATACAAGTTGTACAAGATAAATATATATAGATTGGACTTTCTTATGCAAATTTTAAACAAGTAGTACTATTGAGGAATTGAACAAATATTACACCAATCAAGTATGTCTTCAATTTTTGAAATTGCTACCTATCAATTGTACTATCTAGATTGTATATGAAATTAGGTTTATGTTTGAGATGTTATGAAAAATATAGCATCTATGAGGAAACTTCTTTTCTTTCCTAAGAATATATTTTTGTTCAGTACATTTTAGATTATTTTCAATTATGCACAAACCAATGAAAAGTGGGAAGACTATTTCTTGTAAATATATAAATATGTTTTTCTTCCCACAAAATGACCTTGAAATCATATAAATACATAATCCTTTGAGATATATATAGTTTTAATGTCCTTGAACAATTTAGGTTAATGTATACGAAGTATGAAAGATGTACATACATGTCACCTGATTTCGAAAAACGTTCAATGAAGTTACTACACTCACATCCATATGTGGAAGCTAATCATGTTGCCAACAAACTTTCTAAACTTATTGGTCATAATATTCTATGTAAAGTGCAAACTATAATTGATAGATGTAAACATCGATCGAAACTTACAAACTCATTATTTAATCTTAAAGCTAAGGATTTTCCCTTCAGACCAAGGAATATAATGTTTTATAAAATTATGGTTCCTGAATTCATTTTTGGAATCAAGTTCGTTAAAATTTTATTTAATTATTTGATACCATAATAGATTAAATTTTCATTTGTACTTCTTTATCATTAAGCCTAAATAACTTGAAAATTATGCCTACGAAGAAAAGTTAAATACACTTGGTATTATATTGTTAGTTCTTAGATAGACGAAATATTGACTAATTAATGATAATCAAGTAAAAGGTTATGCCTAATAAAAAGTCTAAAAGTAGACTATACTTGTACTTTCTCCTCCTCACGTGCTTTAGGGGATGCAAATTACTTACGCAAGCAATTACGGAATAAAACCGGCCAACTGTTACAACATTTTTTTTGAGGTTTAAATGGGTCCATGTATTTCTATGTTACTTTTCTCACCATTTTTGTTAGTTCAAGCACCTTCCTTTTTTTACTTTTTTTTTTATTAACGTATTTTGGAAATTTACACCTTTCTACCGCTTTGAAATAGACTTTTCAATGATTTTTTTTATTTTTTTATTTTTAATAACCTGGACTTTTCGGCCTATAAATATTAGAGTACATAACGCTTCATTTCCTATCTCTCAAATTCTCTTATAATCCATTTGTCTCAACAACATTAAATTCTTCTTCGTCTATTTTCTCTACTTCCTCCCAACAATTTTTTCATTATTTTAGTTTCCTTATACCCTAACAAACACTACCCAATTACCACCAACTACAACAAAAGAAACATTCAATACTTTGTTTAAAAATGCATTCGTCAATGAACAACGGTGCTTACGATAGTCATCAACTTCTTTCCAAGGTAGCAACTAACAATGGACACGGCGAGGATGTCGAGTATTTTGATGGGTGGAAGGCTTATGATAATGATCCTTACCACTCTTCCAACAACCCTAATGGTGTAATTCAAATGGGACTTGCTGAAAATCAGGTATTATTTTGGATTCTAATATATATATATATATATATATATATATATATATATATATATATATATATATATATATATGCATGCACTTTTAAATTTTAATAATAATGTTATTTCATGTAAACTTATAAATGGGTGAAACATAATATTGAATTATATGTTACGTGTTTACTCCATGCAGCTTACCTTTGATTTAGTGAAGGAGTGGATGCTTAAAAACCCACAAGCTTCTATATGTACACCGGAAGGAATTGATAAGTTTATGGAAATTGCTGTATTCCAAGATTACCATGGCTTGCCTGAGTTCCGTTCTGTAAGTTTCTAATTACTCTGTCTACAAAATTGACTCGTGACCTTATTTATATATATATTTAAATGTTATGATGTCGTTTCAGGCTGTTGCAAAGTTCATGGGGAAAGCGAGAGGCGACAAAGTGACCTTTGATCCGAAACGAATAGTAATGAGCGGAGGAGCCACCGGAGCGAATGAGACGATATTGTTTTGCTTAGCAAATAAAGGAGAAGACGCATTTTTGGTCCCCTCACCTTATTATCCAGCGTACGTGTACTTGACAAATCTTCTTCATCATTTATTGACATTGTTATTACATTCGTAGACTTTTTGCAACGCAAAAAGTCGGTTAAACTTACGTATGAAAATATAATGAGTTGTGACATGTAGAAAGTGCAACATGAATAATCATTTCTGATCCCTTTTTATGTTAAGTTATCTTAATGAGTAGATAGTGTGAGGATAGTATTGAAAAATCTAAGGTTAACATATTTATATATTGTACTAATTATAATTAACCTTCATATAGGATCATAAAATTAAAAATTGTGAAAGAAGTACGTGGTTGCTAGCTATGTCACTTAATTAATTAATCCTATAAATATTGTACTTTTGATGTGATCGATCATGCATTAGAATAATTGATTTAGGTCATTAAGTTGTTTTCTGTTAGCATGTAGCATGTAAAATAATTGATATAGGTCTATAAGAGAATAGGGTTGTTGTAAATTTTAGTTAGATAGTCAAACACATGTTTTCATGTGGACTAAGTTGTATAATTTCCATTTGACTTGGGTAGTATTCTGTATTAGTCAAAGTGTATAACGTGCACAAGGAAGTATTATACAAGTATATATAGTAGGGTTTTTTTTTTTTTTTTTTTTTTGGTAGAAATAAAGGAGTCTTGCTTTCTAAGCCATCATTAATCAAACATGATACATTGATACGCACGTACTAATGAATAATAATTTAAGTCAAGGGTCAACAATAATAAATCAAATTCTGTTCACACAAGTCCATTTTATTCTTATATGAAATTATTGTGTCAAACATATGAATGTTGCAAAATTGATCACGATCTAACTAGTTAAGGTGGAAGACAACTAGCAATAAAATCTTAATAATAAATTAAACATGATTTTATCACTATTGTCCAAAGTTTTCAATTTTAAGTGGTACGTCTAAATACAATTATATCCCGAAAGATTAAACCTTGATTAAATCATACAAATATTGACAAAATATGAATTTCAAATAAAAGTGTAATGTATATATATTTGTCATATACTTTATTTCCAAAAGAACATTACTATTACCAGACAAAGAGGTTCCTTATGTCCTACAACAAACCAACATGACCTATACGTGTAGGGAACATTGAAAATGATTTAATCAGCCACTAATTATTATTGATTTGTTTGTCATTTTCATGCAGATTTAACCGTGATTTGGGTTGGAGAACTGGCGTAAAACTAATTCCAATTACATGTGAAAGTTGGAATGGTTTTAAGATTACTGAACAAGCCTTAATCTCAGCTTATGAAGATGCACTACAAAACAACGTTCGAGTTAAGGGCATAATCGTCACAAACCCTTCTAACCCTTTAGGGACAGTCCAAGATAAGGATACCCTAAAAATGTTGGTAAACTTTGTGAATGACAAAAGAATTCACCTAGTATGTGATGAGATATATGCAGCTACTGTATTTAGCCTTCCAAGGTACACTAGCGTGGCCGAAATTGTAACGGACATGCCACACGTTAACCTTGACCTTATTCACATCGTCTATAGCTTGTCTAAGGACATGGGCATGCCAGGGTTCCGAGTTGGGATTGTGTACTCTTACAATGACCGCGTTGTGACCACTGCTCGTAGGATGTCAAGCTTTGGGCTCGTTTCTTCACAAACGCAACATATGCTAGCCGCCATGTTGTCTGATGATGAGTTCGTCACAAGGTTCTTAGACACAAGCCGAGAAAGGCTATCGCGAAGGTATATTTATTAGACCTATTTTTCTCAATACCCTTATAAATTGTGCATGACATGTCATGCACATGATGCATTAGTCTATTTTGACTAGTCAAGATATAATAGACTTTAATTTACATTAGGTCATATACCATATTCTTAGACCCTTAATTAATTTGATATTAGAGCATAAAAAAACTGTGCTCACACAAAGTGTACCAAAATCATTTCCCTAATTCTCGGTATCCTCTTTTTCAGGCACCAACATTGTTGTGCGACAGCGGAAGCAAAGGTCGAAAACAAACAAGAAAACAATAAAGAAATTCAATGCAAACAATAAGAACAACACCAAGAATTTACGTGGTTCACTATCGATGTGATAGCTACGTCCACGGGCACCGAGATCGAATGATTTCACTATAAACTGCAAAGATTACAAAGATGATTCTTGTATTTCTCAAGAACGGCTCTCACTCTCTCTCTCTTAACCCTTATACTAATATTAGGGAGGTTTTATATTAATCCCTAAAATAAAAGATACTTGGGCAAAAAAATAACATAAAAGATAACTTTAAATCGTAAAATCCGCGTCTCCGCATTTTTCCTTCTCCGCCCGGTCAGACCGGGCAAGGTCTGCCCGATCGGGCGCGAGAAGAAAACTCCATACGAATGCTTCAACGTATCCAACCCCCACCGCCCGGTCAGACCGGGCAATGTCCGCCCGATCGGGCGGACAAAGCTACGAAGTACGAGTCACCTAATACTTATCAACAATCTCCACCTTGACGAGAACTCGTAGTCAGCAAACGACCCCATCAAGACATAGTGGAAAAACATCTCAAGCCAAACCCGATGCAAGACTCATGCATAAGCCATACATCCCGATAAGTCTTCAACCAAGACCCATCACATACTCGTCTCCAAGTATAACAACTCATAATGCTCCACCTGCATCACAAGCCCCGGGCAAGCTCCACCTTAAGGCCAACACACCTACACCAGGAGCTCCCCAACTTCGCCCCTCAGGGCCTACTACATCACGTAGTAATCAATATTTAGCAAGTCTAAGCAATGTTTAAACTTGCTAAACGGAACAGGCTTAGTGAAGAAATCAGCCGGGTTGTCAGCAGTCCCAATCTTCTTCACCTTAATCCTCTTGTCAGTACGCAAGAAATGATACCTGACATCAATGTGCTTCGTCCGATCATGGTGTACTTGATCCTTAGCTAAGCAAATCGCACTTAGACTATCACAATACACTGTAGCAAAATCCTGTGCAATACCCAGTTCACCTACTAGGCCTTTGAGCCAAATAGACTCCTTAGCTGCAGAAGTTAAAGCCATATACTCAGCTTCAGTAGTTGACAACGTAACTGATGACTGCAATGTAGACTTCCAACTAACCACAGAACCACCCAAAGTGAACACATAACCAGTCACAGACCTCCTGGTATCCACATCAGCTGCATAATCAGAATCACTGTACCCAGTGACCAAGCATTCCCTACCATTCCCGTACACAAGACCAATATCAGTTGTCCCTCTCAGGTAGCGAAAAATCCTTTTCACCCCTTGCCAGTGTTCCCTCCCAGGTCGAGCCATAAACCTGCTTACAACACTAACAGCATGCGCAATATCCGGCCTAGTACAGACCATAGCATACATCAAACAACCAACCGCGTTTGCATATGGAACTCTAGACATATAAGACAACTCCTCCTCTGATTGAGGTGACATAGACAAAGACAACTTACAACTAACAGTAGTTGGCGTACTTATAGGCTTCGATTTTTCCATCCCAAAACGAGACAAAATCTTTTCAATGTAGCTTTTCTGAGTCAAGAAAAGCTTACCTCTAGCCCGATCCCTGTAGATCTCCATACCCAAAATCTTCCTAGCTGCACCCAAGTCTTTCATGTCAAACTCCGAGTTAAGCATCTCCTTTAATCTAGCAATATCAGATTTATTCTTTGTGGCAACCAACATGTCATCAACATATAACAAAAGATAAATCATGGAACCATTATCCAGCTTACTATGATACACACAGCAATCATATGAATTCCTGTCAAAACCTTGTGAAACCATAAAAGAATCAAACCTTTTGTACCACTGTCGGGGGGATTGCTTAAGTCCATACAATGACTTTAGCAATCTGCAGGCATAGTGTTCCTTTCCAGGAACTTCGAATCCTTCGGGCTGCTTCATCAGAATCTCCTCCTCCAAATCGCCATGAAGGAAAGCCGTTTTAACATCCAACTGCTCCAGCTCAAGATCAAAATGTGCTACAATTGACAATAACACACGGATAGAAGTATGTCGAACCACAGGTGAGAATATCTCAACAAAATCAACCCCTTCTACCTGACTGAACCCCTTAGCAACTAGCCTAGCCTTAAAACGTATTTGCTCAGTTTCCGACAACCCTTCTTTCTTCTTGTAAATCCATTTACAACCCACAAGCTTCCTCCCTTCCGGTACCTTTACCAGTTCCCACACTCTGTTCTTGTAAAGAGACTGCATCTCTTCACCCATTGCGGCAAGCCATTGCGCAGACTCACTACAACTAATTGCTTGTTTATATGTGGCAGGTTCAAATGACTCTACATCATCAGCTACACTCAATGCATAACCTGTCATCGCATCAACACAGCAATTTCTTCCCTCCATCTCTTCAATCAATCTAACAGGCTTCTTGATAACTCGTTTAGGCATCTCAAGAATGGTGTCAGGTTGACTAGATGACCCCTGATTAGATTGCTCCACCTCATCCCCAGAGTTAGAATGAGTAGGAGTAATCTCAGGTTCAGGAGTACCCGGCACTGGAACATCAGCATCATCATCAATATATTGTACCCGAGGTAAATCAGCAATGGTAGACTGATGTACCTCAAGTACCCCATCTGTCTGTAATAAATTGTCTCCTTCCCTTCTCAAATCTGAAATCTCTGCATTTTTAATTGAATACATGGTGTTTTCATCGAAAGTAACATCCCTACTAAGAATGACCCGACCCTCCGAAGGTGAAAAAATTCTAAACCCCTTCACACCATCCCCGTACCCAACAAAACACCCCTTCTTGGCTCGTGGATCCAGCTTACCCTCAATAACATGATAATAAGCAACACAACCAAAAATCTTCAAATTCGAAAAATTAGGCAACTTACCACTCCAGATCTCAAACGGAATTTTGGAATCAATTCCAGAATGAGGACCCCTATTAATGACATAACAAGCTGTTAACACAGCTTCACTCCAGTACCTCCTCCCAAGCCCTGCATTAGAGAGCATGCATCGAACTCTCTCTAGCAGTGTCTGATTAACCCGTTCTGCTACACCGTTCTGCTGTGGTGTCTTCCTGACAGTATGATGCCGACCTATACCCTCATCTGCACAGAACTGATTAAACTCGTCTTTGCAAAACTCTAGCCCATTGTCCGTTCGTAGCTTCTTGATCTTCCTTCCTTGTCGATTTTCCACCAAAGCTTTCCATTGCTTGAAAACTTTGAAGGCCTCATCCTTTGACTTAAGCAACCTAAGCCATGTGTATCGGGACTTGTCATCAACAAATGACACAAAATAGTGGTAACCTCCCATACCTTCAACTCTAGATGGACCCCAGCAATCTGAATGGATGTAATCGAGCACTGCATCAGTAATGTGAGCACCCTTGCTGAACTTTGACCTGTGTTTCTTACCAAACACACAATGCTCACAAAATTCAAGGTTGGCAACCTTGACCCCGGATAGAAGACCCCTCTTGGACAATAGCTGCATCCCCTTCTCCCCCATATGACCAAGCCTCATGTGCCAAATCTTAGTCATCTCCTGGTGAGATACAGATGCGCAAACCGCAGAACTAGGCAGTGTAACACCTTCAAAAACATAGAGGGTGTTCCTTTTGATACCCTTAAGTACCAACTCAGAACCTCTGAAAATACACAACTCCCCATCTGAAAACACACCATTGTACCCCAAGTCATCCAGGGTACCCAATGAAATCAGATTCTTTCCTAAAGCAGGAACATGCCGTACATTAGTCAAAGTTAACCTCCGCCCATCAACAGTCCTCAACCTCATGGAACCAATACCTGTGACCTTACATGGAGCATTGTTACCGACTATAACCATACCCCCATTGCGAGGTTCATATGTATCAAACCAATCTCGACGTGGACACATATGGAACGAACACCCCGAATCTAGAACCCAGTTATCAGATAAATCATCAGACCTAGCAGAACTGACTAATGCTAAATCTTCCTCTGAATTATAGCTCTCATTCGGTTTCTCTTCAACTACAGCAGCCTGGGACTTGTTTTTCCTCACCGGACAATTATTCCTAAAGTGACCCGGTTCTTTACAGTAATAACATGTTTTAGTAGTAGTTTTACTAGATCCATCCTTGCCGTTTCCAGCACCCGACCCAGCATTGTTCCCCTTGTTAAACCCCTTATTCTTTTTAGACTTTCCGGACTTAACAAACAACCCACTACCATTATCCCCATTATCACTCGTAGCTTTCATTCTGAGTTCCCTAGTATGAAGTGCTGCCTTCACTTCTTCTAAGGTTATAGAATCCTTACCAACAACAAAAGACTCTACAAAATTCTCAAAGCTAGACGGTAGAGATACAAGTAAAATCAACGCAGCATCCTCATCATCAATTTTAACATCTAAATTACGTAAATCAAGCAAAATAGAGTTAAGTTTTTCTAGATGTTCCCGTAAGGAAGTACCTGACTGCATCCGGAGGCTAAACAACCGCTGTTTCAGTAATAATTTGTTGGTCAACGACTTAGTCATATACAATGACTCCAGCTTCAGCCACAATCCAGCCGCCGTTTCCTGATCAGCCACCTCCGTGATGATTTGATCATCAAGACTAAGTAATATGGTAGAGTGTGCCTTCTCTTCCATAACTTCTAACTGCGGGTCAGTCGGTCCATCTTCTGACTCCGAAGTAGTACTCTTTGGAGCCAACGGACGCCATATCTGCTGTTGTTTTAACAGAGCCTTCATCTTAATTTGCCATAGCCCGAAACTATTTTTCCCGGTAAACTTCTCAATTCTTATTGTTGAATCTCCTGCCATTGTTATCTTCAAGAAACTCTCCAAGGATTGAACCTGAGCTCTGATACCAATTGTTGTGCGACAGCGGAAGCAAAGGTCGAAAACAAACAAGAAAACAATAAAGAAATTCAATGCAAACAATAAGAACAACACCAAGAATTTACGTGGTTCACTATCGATGTGATAGCTACGTCCACGGGCACCGAGATCGAATGATTTCACTATAAACTGCAAAGATTACAAAGATGATTCTTGTATTTCTCAAGAACGGCTCTCACTCTCTCTCTCTTAACCCTTATACTAATATTAGGGAGGTTTTATATTAATCCCTAAAATAAAAGATACTTGGGCAAAAAAATAACATAAAAGATAACTTTAAATCGTAAAATCCGCGTCTCCGCATTTTTCCTTCTCCGCCCGGTCAGACCGGGCAAGGTCTGCCCGATCGGGCGCGAGAAGAAAACTCCATACGAATGCTTCAACGTATCCAACCCCCACCGCCCGGTCAGACCGGGCAATGTCCGCCCGATCGGGCGGACAAAGCTACGAAGTACGAGTCACCTAATACTTATCAACAAACATTTTACAGGCGGATTGTCTCAAGTTGGGATCGAGTGCCTAAAGAGCAACGCAGGACTATTTGTATGGATGGACTTGCGACACCTATTGGAGGAGGCAACAACGGAGGGGGAATTGAAGTTATGGAGAGTAATTATAAATGATGTGAAGATCAATGTATCACCAGGCTCATCATTTCATTGTTCGGAGCCTGGATGGTTTAGGGTGTGCTACGCAAACATGGATGATGAGACCGTAGATGTTGCCCTACAAAGGATTAGAACCTTTGTAAGGCGCGACAAGAGGGAGACAAAACCAAAAACATCGCTTAAGAAGAGGAAGGAACAGATGCAACTTGGTCGTCTTAGCTTTAACAATCGAAGAATCGACGAAAGTAGTCTCATGTCACCACATAACTTGTTATCACCTCATTCTCCCATTCCTCAATCTCCACTCGTTAAAGCCAGAACCTAATAAATCATTTTAAGTAATACTATATATAAAAGTATAAATAAATTCATGTATGTAGATATTTCAATAATTCGTGTCATATTTATCCGAATAACTTAGAATCTTCTTAGTACGTAAGGTTTTTTATATTCCAATGATTTTTGCAGTTTTTCTGATAATTCAGACTGCCTACTAGGGATTTGTTGGGATAAAATTATTGTAAAAGGGGTCAATTGTGCTTAGGTTTTTTTCCCCAGATTTTTTTGTTTGGGGTTACCATATTAATAATAATATTAGTGTTTTCTTGTTTAGTACTCCGTAAGATATTACTCATATTTACTTACTTCTAAGTTCTCGATCTGTTAGTGAAATCTATTTACATATCGAATTCTTAGTTTGATCATCATTGCTCAGCTACTCAGACGGCTTTCATCCATTGAAGCATACTGCATATACAATAAATATGCACAATAATAGGTACGGACTACGGAGTATTTGAGAACCTCATAACTTGATAGTGTTACTTCTTTTTTTTTTTTTTTTTTTTTTTTTTTTTTTTTGAGAGCTGATAGTGTTTCTAAATACGAGTACGAGGTAAGAGCAACATTAAACAAATACGGATCGGAGTACATGGGATTAAAAAAAAAAAAAAGCCCAAACACAAACGTGCATCTATATTCTACAGGCCCATTGTTGAAGTTGGTTAAGGCCCAATGAATCGAATACAGGCTAGCCCATATATATGGTACATATAACATATTATATGTAGGTCTCCTAAATGCTAATTCTGTCAATCCAATTTTACGAGTAGTTTGTTTGAATTTCTAAAAGACTAAAACCACTTGCCTTCACATAGTTAAAGATCACAAGAAAAGGCTAAAAACTCCTTGAAACGCTCAAGAACATGTGTGTAATTAGTCAGTAATGGTGGTGAATACATACATGATTAAATCAAAGTAGATTTTCGAAATCGAGTAGTAAAGGGGAGGAAGCTCATCAATGGATGGATGGATAAAACTGGCTTCTAGGGTAACCAGAAAGCGATCAACCTCCAAGTGAAAATGCTAGGATGCACCAGTATCCACTAGATGGTGCTCGAGTGAGTTGATCCCTTGGTTAGCCAAGGTGGCTCAACAGGTGTTTTTGTTAGGAATAATATAGGAAAATATATTATTGTGATATATTTTCCATATAGATCTTATGATATTATATTTAGGATAATAATATATCTTAGTGATATTCTAAGATAGATTTATGGAAGTTTATATGATAGAATTTATATTGTGTAGATTATCTTTTGTAGGCTATAAATAATAGCCAAGATCATCAGTACAATTCAAACTATTCTCTCATAAATAATTTAGCATGGTATCAGAGCAGGTTAAATCTTGGGACCGTTCACACAAATATTCCCCTGCCGGTGGGTTAGCATATTAAACCCACTGGTGGGATTCATAAATTTTCTTCCGCTATGCAATAGTATTGCTCTTTGAATTTCTATTTTTTGATTTAATTTTTTTTTATGGAATAACCATGTGATACGTGGGTTATTATTGGTGTATGTGATCAATATGAATGATCATATGTGATTTGGTTAGGTTGAAGTGTTTGAGTGTGCTTCCTCCATTATTGCATCTCCATGGAGATGAAGAAAAGCCACGTTTGGCGTTTAAAATTGCAAAAGACCACGGACACCAGCGAAGGGCCTGGCAAAGAAGATAACGGACACCAGCAAAGGGCCGTGGCAAAGAAGAATACGGACACCAGCAAAGGGTCGTGGCAAAGAAGACCACGGACACCAGCAAAGGGCCGTGACAAAAGACCACGGACACCAGCAAAGGACCGTGAAAAAGACCATGGACACCAGCAAAGGGCCGTGGTAGCAAAAGTTCGTTTTTTTTTTAAATAAAAAAAATTGAAGGCGACATCAACAGAGTAGTGCAACTCGATCAACTTCAACAAAGTGCGAATTTCCATTCCAATCGTAACGTTCGTGTTACTGTCGTTACGATTGCGGGAGGGTGTTAGGAATATAGGAAAATATATTATTATGATATATTTTCCATATAGATCTTATGATATTATATTTAGGATAATAATATATCTTAGTAATACTTTAAGATAGATTTATGAAAGTTTATATGATAGAGTTTATATTGTGTAGATTATCTTTTGTAGGCTATAAATAATAGCTAAGATCATCAATACAATTCAAGCTATTCTCTCGTAAATAATTTAGCAGTTTTCAAGGTTGCAATATTGAGCCAATATTTGCAAACGATATTACGTCTGATGAATGAATCCTTTATTGCAAAGCATTAATGAAGGTTGCACTTAAACAAATTTCATTCTTATACTCCCCTTGCATACCTTTTTTTATTTTTGTTTTTTATTTTTAATGTAATTAAACTAGCTCAACGTATGTCTACCGTTTAACTAGATTCTATGTTTTGATATACATGTTTATCTTTAAATCATTACAACATTTAGAACAATTACTTGAAAACAAAGAGTAAAGCGTGGTTCGTGCAGGTGGATGCACAATCCACATGGTGCATCTCTTCCAAGAAAAAAAATGGAAAGAACATTGCATAGAAACATAAAGAACATTTAGTTTAAGTGAAAAGAACATATTATAGAATTGTAAAAAACATTGTATAGAAATGTAAAGAACATTCAGTTAAAGTGCAAATAACATGTTATAAAATTGTAAAGAACATAACGTGCAGTTAAATAATGTTATTTATCTTCATGTTCTTTAATTGTCAGAATAATGTACTTTTATTTGTGACATATGTTGATTGTTTATTTTGAAATGTTCTTTGAATTTTGTCTTTAGATTATGGTGGTTTAATGAAAATAATGTTCATTACATTATATTAACATTAGAGGTGATAAAAAATTCGGGTCGGGCTGGGCCTTAACATATTATATCGTGTCCAAGGGCTTTTCGAGTTTTTTTCAGGCCGAGTTTGGATTTTTAACTAAAAAAACATTTTTAGGCTTGTCTAAACCCACCCTTATTTTTGGGCCGGGTCAAAGTTGATCACCTCTACGGATGTTGTTTAGATGTATATAAAGAGATGAAGTTGGATGTTTTTTTTTTTACAAAATAGTTATATGTTCTTTATAAAACAACTATATGTTCATTATAATACAACTATTTGATTTGTTCTTCATGAAATAACTATATGTTCTTTACAAAACACATGTATGTTCTTTACTGAACAACAGAATGTTCATTCCGTCTTTTTTAAGAGAAAATGGATGCACGGAGCATTGTGCATCCGCCTCCATAGAAAAAAATTCAAACAAATAGAGTATTAATGTATGATTATACGACTAGCACAAAGATGTATGACACATGTACATAGGGTATTAGAGTGCATAAATAACATACCAACTACCAGCAAATCTATTATAATCTTTAAATTAAATAATTTCTTTAGCTTACGAAATATAATAAACTTAATTTGGTACGCTACATGCTACATAGTACATGGAGAAAAAGAGCAAGACTGCCAAGAGCCCAAGACACACACCATCCTTACATCAATAAGGCGCAAACATCTGCCCACGATTTTGACATGCATACTATTGATATGATTTATTTTAGAGTAGTTCAATTATTGCTTAATTAATTGATCAATGGTCACACAATTTTAAAATAATCGAATAAATAAATATATAATGGAATTCCAATCATTCTAAAGTCGGGCCAAATAAAACTTGTGAAATGGATTGGATGATCATAGTGTCATCGTCAAACATCTCTTGTGTTGTTCTAGCAGCCACAAACTAACATTCTCTTTTGTCATCATCCATCGGCCTCCATACTTATTACTCGTACTAATGTCATGAATTTATAAAATTTGAATTTGATGCGTAATTTGTCCTTTCTCTCGGGTATATGTCATGACTTATGATGAGTTAGGCCTTAATTGTACTTATTTATATTTGCAAATCTTATATGGAGTATGTAGTATTAAAATTTGGTATATCCAAATGTATTTAAAAAGTTATATATGTAAGACTGAAAAGAACAAAATACTAACTAGCGAACATTGTACGTGTCACGAATACTTATGTTAATTCAATTCACGAATACTAATAAACATAAGTACGTAGTAATTAGGTTTTCTATTATATTTGTTACTTGGTAATTTTGTTCGTATATAGTAGGCACCAAGTCAAATGGGAGTAAGTATTTGACATCATCATTATGGTTGAGTATAATAGAGCTAAACATTAGACATATTTGGTTGTTGTGGTTGGACGAAAGCTAAAATGGAATGTATAAGGGGTGTAATTCTCTTTAGTCTTTACTAGTTGGAGTAGGAGAGAGATTATTTATTCATGATACACTTTTATTTGTGGTTCATAATTATAAGACTCAGCCTGACCTACCAATATGCAATTGATGACAATTTTGATTTTATTCATAATTTTCGCTTTGCTAATCACCTTTTTATTAAGTGTCTTATTAAACCTACCTTTTTTCTTCTTTGCATGTATATATCATACTAGCTTTTATATGATTTTACGTTAGTGACAATTGACAAGGTGCTGAGTTCGAACAATTTTATAATTTTATAATTCTTGGGATGGCGTTTTTAGTTGAGATTAGACCGTGTTTCTATTCCCATCACTCAAGAGTCAAGATATAATAATGCGTGTGAGAGTAAAAGTTAAGTATATATAAATATACTAATAGTAAAAAGTGTTTCTAAGAAAAAAAATTTACTATGTTGTGCACTTTTTTTTTTTTAATATTGATTCTCAATCCATGTTTATCAATTATATTTACAATAAAAAAAATGATAATCTTTACTATTTAATTTCTACAATATTATAATCATTTAGTACTTTGTATCATTCAATATAATCTATATACGTTTTAACATTGACTATGTCATTCGATTATACGAAGTATTACATTTATTGTAAACCTAAAAATATTGTATCGATCGGTATCACAACCTTGATTAGAAAATAAATAGAGGAGCAACCGAGATAGTCAACCTTATCTAATTGAGGAGCGAGCTAATTTTTTAAGTAAAATTCTATATACACTAGCTAATTCAATGTTTTAGTAAATAAAATACATAATTCGAGGAGTGAAGGGATGGAGGGATGGTTAGTCCCTCCATCTCCCCCCCATGTGATGGGGGTTCGACTCCTCACAGCCCCATTCCTGTGATAGGATAGGGCCCCCTCTCCGTAGTTTACCGGTCAAAAAAAAAATACATAATCTTATAAAACTAACTACTTTTTTGGTCTGGTTTACAATGTGGTCAACTATTAAGATAAGGGCCCAATTAGATTGTATTTGTGCATTGAAAAAGCAAAAAGTATATTCGAGGGTCAGCATTTTCAACCATATAAATATATAACAAATTAATAATGATAAACGGGCTTGGGCCACACACCTATCACAACTTCACAAGTGTTCACTTAAACAACCAAGAAGGTTCCAACTCAAAACCATATGGCAATGAAGGGAGTAGTCCCTTAGCCATATAAAGTGAACACGACTTTCTCCTTTCTTCAATGTGGGATACACATTCCACTATTTCTCTTCACTTTTATATACTCTTTTAAAGTGGGACAACATTTTCACTCACATGTGAATTTTCTCATGGGCTCAACAAATAATTAGATAGATATAAAAATAAATAAATACTTGTATATATAAATGCATAGCAGAAGAAATTGGCATGAACTATTGTCCACCTAAATGTATAGTTGTATACCAACGTAACATTATGTAATTTGGGCGCAAGTTTGTGGGCATCATTAGCTTGCGACCCACCCGTGATCGAATCCTTTTTGGCTTTCAGCCTTTCACCATTCATTCTTGTACACTTTCTTTGCCCCACTAGCCGCCCAAGAAGCTTGCATCAACTTCATTAGATCTAGGCTTTCATGCATTTACTTGGACGTACAAGTATTTTCATTATGACTACTCCGTACTTAATTTAATTTAATGTACGAGCATGGTATACGACTTATCCAACAAATTTACAACTGTTAATTTTACCGAACACGTCTTATATATTGCTAAGACTATATCATTCCTAATGAAGCAAACTGACTGATATGGATTGTTCAGCTAATTTTACTATGGTATGAATTGTTGTTCCTTATTTCAATGATGGTAAAATCCCATCATTATTCACTCACATCACCAAGGACAGTACTGTAAATAATTCAGCCATATTTAACATGTGTAAAATCTTCCATTTTAGCAGCTCAACAATCACATCAAAAATATGGCTTTCTACTATGAGGCACTAATTAATTGATTTTCCTAAAATACACACTGCTGAATGCAATTTTTATTATTGAATAAACGAACTTACACTTTACTAACATCCAAAGAAATTGTTTTGACAATTAAATACTACCCCAAGAAAAATTATATACAAAATGATATGATCGACGGTCCAGCTAGATAAGAAAATTAACAAGCTTAGCTTAGAATACTAATGAGCTTAATTAGCTCAGATCGCTACCAAAAATATTACTCGTACGTACTTAATTAACGTGCTATACATGCTTGATCGATCACATAACTCACTTCCGAAAAATAGATCAGAGAAGCAGCAGTCATCAAATGACTATATTGATTACATATCATTCTTTCTTCAAGGATCATTTGCCCTTGTGGTGTCCAACCTCGGAAAATAAAGAGGCCAACGGGTTTATTTCAGCAAATAGTACAAGCATTCGGGTTCTCTTCCATGCTTTGAACGTAGTAGTGTGTAGTCATTTGAGGGTTGTATTGCTTATAAGCCATGACAAGGTCGAGCACGGGGTCAGGCTTCTTTTCTTCCTCTTTTTTGCCCTCTTCTTTCTTAGGCTCTTCCTTCTTTTCCCCTTCTTTTTTAGGCTCTTCCTTCTTTTCCCCTTCTTTCTTTTCCCCTTCTTTCTTCTCCTCTTCCTTCTTTGGTTCTTCCTTCTTCTCCTTCTCCGGCTCTTTTGCAGGTCCTACGATAACTATGTGCGTGGTTGGCCAGTTTTTGCGCAGTTTGCTTACTACGCTTACTGGATCCACCGTGCCAATCACAGTTAACTTCTGCTCTTTCATGTCCATTGCAATAGAATCAATCCCTACATTATTTTTAATTAGGTAAAATTGCATTAGACCATTAGCTAGTATTTGCAAACAATGAGCAGATTCTAATGTAGGAAACAAGATTCCTAGGACCTTAATTAGTTAATTGTCTTGTTAGTTGTTACTAATGTCAATTTTCAAGGGAGGTAGTTGGTCTTGGAAATTTATGAAAAGTAATTTAGGTTGGTAATTCAAAATGGAGCAATATATTCTTTTCATTGACATTCAAAAAAAAGGGACAAATAATATTGCATTGTTACTAAAAATTGACATGTAATTATATACTTGTATTAACATTTATAAAAGATGGACTTGTAGTCAAAATGGAACGCTTTGAAAGGAGTTAAGAGCTTGATGTATAACAACCTTGTAAAGTGTTTGTAAAATAAGTACAATTATTGAAAAGATCATATCAAAATCGTCTTATGATATTATTATAGCATATGCTTAGAAATTTCCTGTGTCACCTAAAATGAATTCATCTGATCTTCACCATCAAAATCAAATCAACAAATGAGAGTTTTCATGTACACTAAGTAACTTATATAAAATTTATAATTACCCCTTAAACGGCTCCACCAAAAATTAAGTAAAAAAAATCTCACTAATATGCAGTCTATCTTACACAAAACATGCTCACTCAATCAGAATTGTAATGGAATTAGTATTTATTATAGAATTAGGCATGGTGACCTGATATGAGGTCCTAACTAGTATGAGTAGCAAAAACTGAGAGTTTGTGTAGGATAACCTGGATTTATTATAGAATTAGGCATGGTGACCTGATATGAGGTCCAGGTCCGGTCCGGTTTTGGACCGGTGTACACCCCTAAGGATAGGTCACAGCCTCACGAATTCAAATGTCCCTTCACATACTCCATAACTTACAAAGCCCTTGTGGCTCAAAAAAAATAAATTTGATGACATGATCCAGTACAATATTGCAATTTACTCCGTACTAAACAAAATCAATAATGACAACATAATAAACAAAGGTCCATATTTTTAATTTTTTTTTTTTTAAGAAGAGAATGATATCAGAAGTGTGGGGTCAACAAATTGCCAATTATTGATGAAATCAACTTCAAGCTTGCATCAGGAAAAAATATTCCAAATAGAATCACATCATCCATAAGTACCATAACATTCTTTTCTCTCTCATTTTTTTTTTTTAATATAAGAAACCTAACAAAAATTCTTTGATTAATCACCCAATTAAATCAATTAATTAGGACACAATAAGATTTCCAAGTGATGCAAATTTGGTGGTATGGATTACCTGGAAGAGTAGAGACTGACTTAAGAGCCTTTTGCTTCGCTTTGTCATCATGCAAGTCCAATTTCAACACAATTTTCTGTCATTAAATCAACCAAACAAACATTATTTCACACTTTTCTGTAAATTTTCAATTAAAAAAAAATAATTATAAAACAGAGCAAAATTTAAACAGGGCCTGTCAAAATAACAGATGATTATTTACTCCCGGACTTAATTTCATTTGTTTTTTCTTTTTTTTCAAGCTAATTAATCAATTAAAAATACCATGAAAATTAGATTAGCTTTTCTAAATTGCTGGTCGTAATTATACTGAGCATTCCACGAAATCAACAACAACAAAAAGGGAAAACAGAGTATATCATTTCTTAAATTTCTTACTTCGTACTTTTTAAGCTAATTAACTAACTGCTTAATATTATTTACAAAAAAGGGGTTCAAATCAAAAGCATATGATCGAAAAATACAGCAAAAGCATAAAGATATAACCCTTTCAATCAAAGGCAGAAAAAGATAATAACCCTTTGAACTTGAGACTTTAATTATACGTGTAAAATAGAATCTAAAGCACTTTCAGGCAAAACCCAATATTTGTTTGAGAATCAGAATCCAAATTATAGGAGAAATTTTATACCTTCATTTTTTATTTTTATTTTCTAAAGATTGTATCTTTGATTCTTTTAGATCTGAAATTTGAAGCAGAAACAAAGAAACTGAACTCTGAATGCAGAAGAAGAAAGAAGAAAGAAGAAAGAAGAGAGAGAAAGAGAGGAAAATAAAGGTGGTGGCTTTTTTAGAGAGAAGAGAGAATACGAAATCGAATATTTTGAGGGTTTTTATTCTAAGGAAATGAGTGACATTTGGACTTCAAGGGCCCAATATTATTAAATGAAATTAGAGAATTGTTTTGGCAAATATACAAACACAAGTGGAGGTAAGGGTAGCTATCTTGTTGTAAGAAACTTCCTCTCTTTGTGTTATATTTTTCAGTCCATTATTTCTTTGGATGAATATGAGTGGTAGAACTACTACGGTTTGAGGAAAATAACTTAAGGTTAAATACTCGATCATTATAGTTTCTTTCGTGTGGATAATAAATGTAAAATTTACCGAGATAGTTGACTTATGGACACGTTTAAATTCTTAAAAAGAGAAATAACACAAATACACGATTTATCCTACTATCAATACCAAACAACCAAATCAAGCTAAAGTAGGAATAAATAAATATTACATTAATATTGAAATGCAAACACCCCTACCCCTCAAACCGCCCAAAGCCCCACCGAAATTACGCATATAACATTAATCCTAATCCTCTTCTACTTATGTCAAACTCCCCCATAAATGAACAAGTACTATTTGATCAAATTAATGACTCATTCTTTACAAAAGATGACTCATCCTAGTCTAAAAAATAAATTAAAAAATATTGATGACTGGTCCTTTCCAAATAGGCATGAATCTCACGTATTTTACCCAAACAGGGTAATTTGTCAATTGTCAGAAGGTTTCAAAATTTTACAGTACCGCTTTTACTGTCAAAGCTAGTAAGTGATAAATATGTGTCGGTCCAACATTTTCTTAGAGAGAATCTGAATAATCTGATCATATAATTTCTTTCATGTTACTGTACTGGTTGTACGAGTAAATTTAAAAGAGTTTAATTTGCATGTGGTTGCTGCCATTATAACATAAATATATGGACATTAAAGTTTCCCTCTTTATATGAAATTCCAAATTTTTTGGTGTTGTAACTTTTATGTTCTTTAGTTTTAAATTTTAATGATGATTGTATCATTTTACCAACCCTTCGCTTAAAGGAATTGCATTGACATGTTTCACATAATTAAGTCATGGAATTAGCTAGTTTTGGGAGATCTAATAACCAAGCGATAATTGATGAAATGAAGTTGACATTATTCTAAGATTATTAGAAGTACAATTTGTTAATTCATGGATATTATTGGATCATAAAAAATTGTTAATATATGGATGCTTGTTGATCTTGATGAAGATAAGGTTTGGTGTGTTAGCTTGTCAATGCATTATTATTTTATCATGATGCTATGATGTACTAGACTTATACTTTGATAGTCCATACAAGTGTGTAGTGTTTTGAATTTGTTTAAAGTGTTCAAAATTTAGTTCAAGTGAAGTACAATTCAATGACCAACAACAGTGGCTCAAGTGGTAAGCAGCTTGATGTCTCTTAAGGGAGGTCTCGAGTTTGATAAACTTCGATGAATCGGGTGGGGCAAAACTCAAAATAAGTACAATTCAACAAATTGATCAAATGTTAGATATTTCATCCACATATTTAGTTGTAGTTGCAATATATCCCTATTTAAGGAGGAGATTAGGGGAGGTAAATTGAACAATTTAGTCATTAATAATAACTTAAAGCACCTGTAAGATAATGCATGTTCAATTATATTGTCATTAGAAGGTAAGAAGAAAAGAGAAGCTATGATAACTTGATAAGTAATAATGTGATAAGGTCTTTGTCAAAAAAAAAAATAAAAAAAAATAACGTGATAAGGTGAGTAAAAGATGATAATTGTGTAAAAAAAAAAAAAAAAAAAAAAGGAAAAAGGAAGATGAAATTCTAAGTGATGGTGATGTTATAACTTGGACAGCTTTAATTTCACAGCAACGTCTAAACAAGGGGCGGCAATTTGATTTTGACCAATAAAATGGAACTTTGGAAAACATATGGTGATATACTGATATGGGGTAAATGTTTGTTTGGCCATAACTATTACGAGTACAAAGAAAAAGTCAATAATTAATGTAACATTCAATTAAAGCATATGATATTGTTGAACATTTATTCTTACTACCAAATTTTTAAGTCTCATATAAGTTATACAGTATAATTTATCGAAAATTTATTTATTTTATTTTATTGAGAAATTTAACTAGAAAAAATAAATTAATTCCAACCGTGGTCTTTCACATAAATTAAGTTCAATCTCCTTACAACTCACAAGTATATATTATTCAATTATTGTAATGATAGTAGATTTTTTTTTATTTGATAAATCCGTTTATGGAGATCGAATTTATATTGAGCTGCAATATTAATCTCATGATGATCATATTATTTTGATGGAACATAACAATAATTACTCAATTATGATCAATATAATTGAGTAGTGTTCCGTACAGCTACATAACACTTTAATCTGTGATCTAAGCGTCTTACGACAATGTCCCTTGTTGTGTTGAAATTGTCTGCCTTGAATGCTTCGTTTATTTTATACCAGTATACGTGTTTGCTTACTTCTTCGTTTAATAGGTTGTGCTGTCCTACAAAAATCAATTATCCTGATCATTTTCACAAGACATAATCACTTGATCACATACAGTACTTCATAAAATGATAAAAGATAAGACTAGAAAGTAACACATATTCACGATTATTCAATTAATATACGTGTACAAAGTCTTTCATTATAATTTTACTTGCAAAAGTTATTCCATTATATAATTTCCTCACCGAAATTCAAAATTTATTGTTATGTATTACATAAAATTACACCATTAGGCATCAACATATAGTCTTTAGTCCAGGACATGGGTGATAAAAATAAAAAAAAAAAAAAAAAAAAAGGGTAATTCCCCCTATTTTGATCGATAACGTATTTGGTTATTCAAAAAAGGGTTTGTTCTCATAGACTGAACCCAACTGAACTGAACTGAATATTTTATAAGAGAAGGAAATTAGGAGATGAAATGAACTGAACTGAACTGAACTGAAAATAAACGCATGAGAACAGGTATACTTATCTATCTATTTACATCAACTTGAAACAAACAACATATATATATAATGGTTGAAAATATACTACTCGTACAGAAGAATACCAACCCAAGTGTTAGATGAATGGAGCTGAGCTCACAAGTGTTCATGTATTTATTATACAAAAGAAAGCCAACAATATTGTATCAGTTGAAAAATGTGTCGATAATAGCTGATTATTATAAGCATAGTGCGAAGTTTGTAGCTCTTAAGGTTTTTCTAGTTGTTTTCATTCCTTTTTATTCTTTATAAATTAGAATGATGCAATAATGTACATTGTGGTTTGGATGGTAGTTGCTATTTTGGTTATCCACTACGTCATCAATCTTCATCTTCATTCTTCTTTTGGTTTGGAATAAAAAGTAAGTAGCTTTTTATTTTTCGTGGCTAGTAATTAATATATTCCTTACGATTTATCACCCCTTAAAAATAAATAAATACATGTACTTCTTACCCTAAGTTTTAGTGAAATTGACCTTTTATCTTGTTCTTGCAACATTCTAATTTAGTAAACTATTACATTATTGTGGGGCTGTCAAGATTATTATTATTTTTTTTATTTTATTTTTTTTTTTTTTTTTTTTAAGAGAGTCAAAGACGGGGATGAGAATCGATCTTAGGATCACCTGGAAGTGGAATGAGAGTTATAACTCCTTGAGCTATCCTCACTCTCAACCGTCATGATTTTTAAGAAGGCAAGAAACACCAATCTACGATAATTTGATGATTTTTAAAATTTTGATCTAAAAAACTAAACTTATATTATGTTCCTCAATTTTCATAAAAACCATTAAAAACAACATATGATTTATTTAACTTTTCGGATTCATAATTGTTTGAGATGGATTGATTGTACATCTTTGCCATTTTTTTTTTTGTGTAATCAAATTTAAGGCGAATATTGATCAACCACATCTTTCTTACCTATTGTAAATGCTACATTACACTCAAGTATACCAAAAAAAAAAGTACTCATCATACAAAAACACCAATATGTGCGCGTGATGTACCTAGACGTAAAAACATAAAGCATTACAACTATTCTAAATCTTACAAATTCAACGCCCTTTGAGTCTTCAATATTGAATTAAGATATGGTGTTTCAAATTAGTATAACATCCGTATCTAAAGTCGGCCCTTTTTTTTTTTCTAAGCTTGTTACAGTAAACTTGTTGGGCTTGAAATTAACTTGGAAAATTCTTATTTTAGTGGTTGGATAAACAAAGGATACTACTGTCCACTGCTATATAATAAGCTGACTAGTATAATTTTAATTAATTTGACCAAACAGCAGATTCATGATCACTTAAGATGGCTAGGATTTTTGCTCGTGGTTGCGACTTTTTTTTTTATCAACGATAAATAAAGTCCAAAAAATTGACTTTCAAACTTTAAATAATATGAGTTTTTTTTAAGGATTGGAGTACATTTTGGCCAAATCAATGTGCTCACTTAATAATTTGATTATTTTGTGAGCTGCATGGCTCAATATTGGTTTTGTAACAAGCTAGACAAATATGTTAGTAAGTAACTATGTTAAAAGTGATGATTGTTAATGTATACGTACCACATGCTAAATACTCTTTCCGTATTTGTTTGTGGTGTAGTTTTTCCTATTTATATGTATATAACTGAATTAAAGAACCATTTATCACTTATTGATTCAAAATATTACTCCGTATGCCGTAGTAAGATTTATTTAGTTTGTATATGTATATGTATGGAGGGGATAATCGAATTTGAGGGGTGATGGATTACCTCGGTTGGCCTGAATATAGGCAATCATAAGAGTGTAAGACTAAATTTACCATTCATTCACAAAATTAACTACTTTAATTTTAAGGTGTTTGTTATAAATAAATAGGATTGATAATTTAAGTAGGCTAATTGATTAAATCATAGCCTTGCACCCTTGCGGATTTTGGACCTAAGCTTATTAGGATGGTAGTCTGGTAGGAATGCATGTCTCTTACTCGATCTCTTTACTTTTTAGGTGTTAAAGAGTTAACGAAAAAGTCAGGGAAAAGTAAGTCATATCTGATCTTTATCGGTTTATCAATTGAAAACGTAACATTTTGATGTTTTGCACAAATGTACAATATATATACTGATGGAATAATAACTTGAATCAAATTTAATAAATATTATGTTAACATGATTGTTATTTTACTATATTAATCTCAATGTTTATTTTCAAAAATTATTACGTACTCCATGTATTAAGT